AACAACAACAACAACCAGATGATTGGTGATTCAAACCTACCAACCACTGCTTGGAAGGATGACTGGGCAATCTATTTCCCTAAAGATTTACTGCATTGGAAACCCAACGGGGGTTGCTATGAGTCAAAATCAACTCAATAGCAGTGGGTCACTGGGTTTGATTTTTTTTTTTTTTTTTAGCTAAAGCAAGAGTCCTGATTGTCCTTCTTATGTTTTAATTAGGCTGGCCATTGTTTGAGAATGCACCACTCCCCAAGATTCCAGCAAGATTATTAGCAATTGTCTTACTCCCATGGGTTTCCTCCTCACACACTAATTCTATCATGTGATCTCCAGCATGATTTTATCACCAAGACCCTATTTTGCAACTACTGTGGAAGAAACAGAGACAGAGAAGTTGACTTACACACAGTCACTTGTATAGGGAAGTTCTTTAGACATTCTCATTTTACTCTTAGTTTTGTTAATATAACTGGAAAAAAAAAAAAAAAACTATTACCATTGGGTTGATGCTGATTCATGGTGACCCCATATATAAAGCATTGGAAATTTGTTGCTATATAATTCTTGGGAACCCCGTCAAAGACTATTATAGCTGAAATAAAACCATCAGGTGTTGGCCAGATGGAGCTAAGTGGGAAAGAGTATGGATACAATGCATTCTGCTAGATAGAGACATATGATTTCTTAAGATTCTGTTTTCTTCTGTGGTTATGGTTTTGAGTTGGTCTAAAAATTTTCTCCATAAACACTTAGAGAGAGATGAAACCTTAAAGCTGCTTCTTTCTCTATTTTCAAAAATAAATCTATGATCTGTTGTGGACATTGTTGGTTTCTGTAGTAGATAATCGAATATTGTACTTCCTTTAAATATAATACATTCTACCTCTGTATAAATGATAAAAAAGGGGCATGCAATGAAAATAATATCAATAAGAGCTAGAATTTATTGAGCATTTACTATGTGACAGGGACTGTGCCGAGCACCATATGTCTTTTATCTCATTTAATTTTAACAGTCACCAATGAAATATTCCTCCTCGGAAGGAAGGATGGGCAATCCTAGTTCCGTAGTGATACTGCCTCGGAAACCCAAGGAGGGGTCGCTATGAGTCGCGGCCGACTCGACGGCACATAACAACAACAACAACAACAACAATGAAGTATTCAGTTTACTATTGAAGAAGCTAAGATATAGAGAAGTTAAGCAACTTGCCCAAGGTCACAAGATTAGTGAGGAAGAGAAACGGAACCCGAATTTAACTTCCAGTCTGACTTCAGACAGTTTATAAACTTCTTAACCACCATGCTGTATTCTGAACCTATGATACCTGAGTGGCAGATGAAGTGTCCAGGGTAACATGCTTGCCAGTGAAAGAAAAGGGGAAATGCCATGGAGAATGGCTGAGCTTATAACAAAATGGCAGGAGAGAGCTAGAAATTTGACTGACCATACCTTTAGAAGCAAATAGTTCCAAATCTTCTGAATTGTTGCATTAGTTCATACATGTTACATAAGTGGAGTTGAAGAGTAGTCAGTAGATTTTGTATGGACTTTTACCCTAATTACTGCAGACTTCTGTCACCAATGACACCATTTAGGTGAAATGGTTTTTAGGGTAGGACAGTGTCCTCTGAAGTGTGGGGACCATGCACAACTGGAATAGATCAAACTTTATAAAAATTAATATTTTATCTTAATAGGCGTTTGAAAAAAATATGTAGTACATCAGACCTGTGATTTTTTACAATTGTTATTGTTTAGGATAAAACCATGTTGATTAAGAAAGAAAGAAGGAATGAATTTAAAGTCAAAATTCTAAAATGTTAAATATTACAGAAACTACTCAAATAAGGAGGAGTTGTGAAGTCAATGCATGGAGGCCTGAAGTTTGGAAACCACTTGTTTGGCATTAACACCCTTCAATCACTAGCTCATTCTTTTGCCAAACAGTAAGATTTTCTTCTGCAGAGAGTGGATAAGTAACTTGGAGGAATAATGCAAGAGGAGGATTAAGTCGAGAATTGATTATGTTGACACTTTATTCCATCCTCAACCCTCATTGTGTTAGGTGACAGAATTTTTAATCTACATAGCTATGACTTTAATGAAAAATGTAATTTTCTCTTTTCCCTCAGGAATACCTTTTTCCATACTTGACTTGAAGGCAACAATGTGTGTCTGGTGTATAGTGTTTCCTTTTCCTTTTTCTTCCTTAAGCATTTTATTTTCATGACCTTTGTATAATATAAATTGTCCTAGTTCCTCTTTCTTTTCTCTCAGCACTAGTATTTTGAAATTTTTAACAGTTAGTGTTGCAGGGCTGGGAAACAAACGGTCTTCTCCAATTCAGATAAGATGTTTAAAAATGAAAAGTTACCATGATATTCAATTAAATACTAGACAAGTATTCCCTTTTCATAAGAGATACCTTACTCAAATGAGAATTTCCGTGTATAAAATATGCTGGAGAAAATATACTCAGTTTTTCTTTCAGATATAAAATGATTTTAAAATTAGAATTACCATATATTTCTACTACTGCAGTAGGTATAATTTCATATATATTGACATTTTATCACAGGCTTCTACTTTTGCACTTGGGATAATTTCTGTCTTAATCTTTACCTGGTGCTTCCTTTTACTTGAGAATCTCACAAGTTACCAGTGATTAAGAGATAATGGTTGTTTTTTTTTTTTTTTTCCCATATATTTTCTAGCATTTCTTGTATGAGTCTTGGTGAGAACTTTGTTTAAATTGATAACTGATCTACATGTTTTATAAATGATCCCAACCTCCCTTATCTCACATTGAAAATGAAGCAAATATAATGGAACAGGTGACAGAATTAAAATATTGTGTTTTCCTCTCTTATTTTAGATGGGAAGGTTGAAGTTACAAAAGAAGGTGTGAAGCTGTGCACTATGGGTCCAGGAAAAGTGTTTGGGGAGTTGGCTATTCTTTATAACTGTACCCGAACAGCGACCGTCAAGAGTAAGACTTTTATATATTTAATTACTTTCAATGTTCTTTATTCCCTAGACCTGTGAAACTTTAATTAACTCACCCATGAAGCTTGCTTTTGTCCTTGCAATTTTACTAAACTACATTTTAATTTTTGCCTTGTAATACAGTTGATGGATGCATTTTCCTACTAAAGTAAAATTGTTAACAATCAATTCTTTGTAACTTAAATTTTATTATTGACTATTATGGAGATTATTCTTTTAATCATATATTAGAATTTACAGAATGATATAATTTTATAAAATAAAGTTAAACAGGAGGAAGGCTTTTCTTTTTTCTGCCTTTAAAGCCTCAGGATCATATTTAAGAATAAGATCTTATAATTTTTTCTATTTTGGGTTACATTCCCCACATTAATCCTACTTGTTCATTCAGTGGTTTAGAAAAATTGTAAGGAGAAAAGTCCTTTATCTGATTCAAAACTCATTGTGTGAGATGTATCTTGAATTCTAAAACTGCATATGAGTGTATTTTTGTCTTCAGCTGCTCATCAAGCTGTATATTATAGCATTTTTCTTTTCTACTGATTGAGCTTATTTTAAATTGGGGCAATAAAGAAGCTTGTTTGCCTAATTTTACATATATGTGTATATATGATTTCTCTAGCAACTTTCGTTGCTCAGTAGAAGCAGCTGCAAAAGATAGAATTTATTTATTTATTTTAAAATTTTCCTTCTTCCTGAGCACAGAGTGCAATGAGTATGTAACAAACAGAGCTGAATCTGAAAGTCAACAACGGCAAGTCTTTCTTCTCTTTAGTCAGTCATGGGTGTACACCATGTTTGAAAAGTCCTTCTGATACATTGTTCTGTAGATTATTTTAATCACACATTAATTAGATTTTATAGTTTAAAAAATGCTATGAGCAAGTTGACAAATTGTTTGTATCAATTACTCTTATTTATCACTGATGTTGGCCAATAGGAACAATGTCATTGACTATTTTGAATATATGTTGACTTTTTATCTCAGAAGTGTGTCATAATACTAATAACATGACATTGAAACTTGCATTGGGAAGAACTCAGGAGTGCATGGTCAGCTAGAAATTGTCCTACACGTCTTCTTGGTGAATTTACTTTTCATTTATTGAAATCAGTGTCATATTAATTGTAGTTGGAACCTTACTAGGATGGTTACTTTTTGGCATTTGATTCTTGATCTCTGAAAGCAGACTATTTTGATTGATGAACACTGTCATGTTTTTATTTAGAGTGATCATTTAATTACTCAAAGAATAACGAAACACAGTGAACCATAACAGGAGCTGCCACAACTTTAACTCACTTAAAAAAGTACCTTAACTGGGGGAGGGGGCAGTCATGACTCTATTTAAATGAAACACATTTGACTCTTCTGCTTCATTTCCATGAGAAACATACTCTTTTTGGGGGGAGAAAAAACAGCCAAGATAGCACTTTTGATCTAAACAGGATTTCTCACAATGGCATATAGCACTTTAAAGTTTGAAAATATTTCAGCCTGAGAGAATGTTGTATACTATTTATTTAGTTCTAGTTGAAACTACAAAATTTTTGATGGTCAATAGTTGATAATAATATGGTGCTTAATCTTTTGATATATTAAACTTTTATTAAGGGAATATTTTAGATCTATTTAAATGAATGCTATAACAAGATATTTTTGTAAGATGATTGTTTTGCTTTATAAAAATGAATTTTTTATTAAGTCTCTCTAAACTGGTATTTATCTATGCAGGTTTCTATTACACTCATATTTGGTAAATTTAAGTAGTCACTATACATCTGATCCAACAAAATGAATTAGGTGTTGGCGTATAAATTATAACCCTAATTATTTTAGGGACAGAACATCCATCATAAAAAAAAAGAGTTATACAGCATGTTATCTTTGAATGCAGAGTCCAAGAAAGCTCCTTTGCATGTGTGTTTGTGTTTTTTTTCCTTCATAGTGCCTAGTTAGGACATAGAGATTGTATTGAGTGAAGGCTAGGGTTGGTGGTGTACAAATAACCTCCTTGTTTATTGGGTGAAGAATAAAGAATAACACCTATTAATAACTTTTTCTTTTGAATGCTGTGTAGGAACCCTAAAGTGCGAATGATGATTATTTGTTGTTCAGGATTTTGTTGTCTTGTCTTCCCAGCTGTTCAGTGAGAGTATACTTATCACTGTGGTACTTAAGTAGCATTTTTTTCTGTATGTTTAGATTGTACTCTAAGCTTGGTCATTTTAGAATTCTGATTCTATACCAACATGGATGCTACTTTTTCTGAATGACTATATCACATAACCCCAAATACTATTTTACTCTTTATATGTGATACTTAAAAATGTCCTCAAGCTTGTTTGACTGTTGATCCAATTGTTTGTCAGGAGTCAGTGCTTCATTGACTCTGTCCCCTTCCTCTTAATGCTTATCTTGCCAGTGATGCCTATGCACAATATCTTTCCAACTGGACTATCCACTTGGTTGTAATCCCCTAAGTCTAAGGAGAATCTCTTTGCTATACAATAAGTTATCTATTCATGCTTGTTCTTTCATACCTGGACTTTTTACTCCTTTTCTCCCCAGCATCACCCACTTTCTTTTTAGGATTGAAATGCAGTTGATGATCCTCTTTCTCCCTTCTTTCTCTTTATATGAGCCTGAAAACTCTACCATTTTAATCTCACAGTAGTAACTAAATACTAGGTGGCATTCACATACTGTCCTGTGTACATGAGTTGTTCCTCATTCAAGACAGCACCTTTGTAAACTTGTATCATGTCAAATAGATGATACTATGCTCAATAAATTTAATAATTTCCTCTAAAAATGTATTCTAACATCAGTTTTTTATCTTTTAAATTTAGATGATCAAAAAATAGTACTTTTCATTTTTATGACTTTTGTTAAAGCTATAGATTAACATATGCTACAAAATATGATTATAAGTTGTTCACAGTCAAATTGAAAGAAGCACCGTGGTAGTTTGAAGGAAACTTTCCTTTTCATCTGGGAAAAATCAATTGGCATTCTCCTGAAAGTTAATAAATGTTTAGCATTTGTGATTTTTGGTAGCACTAGGAAAAATGATTTTTTAAAAGTCAAAATCATAATGACAGAGAAAGAAAATATGGTATGATACACAGAAGATCTGTATTCATAGTCTATTCTATCTTACAAATTAACACCATTGATTCTTCCCAAGGAATGAGGGCATAAACATAAAAATAGAAATAATTTATCATTATGAAAATAATTTAACAAAAAAATTGAAATTGTTAGATTGGGAACAAAAACCTAACCACTGTCCTAAGGATATGTAATGTTCTCCAATTATTTTTATTTATTTTGATATGAAAATGGCCATTTGGTTGTATTTACCTAGTCCCAAACACTCTGAATGCCATGAGAAAGAAAAAAGATTCATTTGGTATCTGTGGTTTCTACAGAATCAGACAATGTCTCCAAATTAATGTTTTACGAATTTTTCAAATTTTGTCTAAATATTTTGGCATTGCGTATTTAACAAAAAAAAAAACCTCACTGCTGTTGAGTTGGATCCGACTCATAGCTACCCCTCCTTGGGTTTCTGAGGTGATATCACTATGAAAGTAGATCGCCCAAACTTCTTTTCGAGGAGTGGCTGGTGGATTTGAACCGCCAACCTTCTCATTAGCAGTCAGATGCCTGAAGCATTGAATATAGAGCAGATAATTTAGATAACCATTGTCAAATCCCACAAGTAACAGGAATTTTAGACATGGCCATTCAATACCCCTTGCTTCCTCAGTTTGCACACCTGGAAGGAAGCCATCATGTTTTCCTAAAGTGTTACTCCTGTTGTGATTTCACTTTCACTACCTTCACAGCTAAAACAGTATCAATTTGCACTTACCCTCGGCTTCTTACTTTGTATTTAGCCCAGGGTTCTTCAAAAATCACAAATACAGAAAAGCTGAAGTTACCAGACAGCTAAAAATAGAAATGAAAAGACATTTAAATTTACAAGAAAGGGATTCATTGACACATTCTTTGTGTGGGAATTAGCAAGGACATTTGTGTTATTGTCTTGTTTTACCTGGACTTCCCTCCGTCAATTCTCACAGTTTATGCAACTACACAGGGATTTTTATGATCTTTTCATCATATGGCTCTTTGCTTTCACTTCAGTTGTACATAAACTCAAAACATCTCAAATAGCCAACTATATTTTGCCTGTAGATATTTTTGCCTGTAGATACTAAATTGAAGCCCCACTCTTCTTACTTTCAATTTCCAGTTCACAATGCCTCCAGAGCTTTGCTAATGTATTATTTATAAGATTTCCATACACATACACTACATTTTTTTTAAGAAAAGAAAAGAATAAAAATTTTCTCTCTGTGTAGGAAAATGTTTTGATATCAGGTCAAGATGGCCATCATAAAAAAATCATCTGCAAAGTGTCTATGGTGGGTGTGGAGGCTATTTTATAGATTTAACTGGGCAAAATATCTGAATAATTCTTTCTCTTTAGATTATTTGCAGAATGTATTTTTGAAGTTCTCAGTATAAAATACTACAATCCTAACACAAAATAATTTAAACAACTTATAAAAAAAATCTAACAAATTAATGAGTTTAATTATATTTGTTAATATTTTTCTGCTTTAGTTTGAATACTTCCAAGTTTTTATAGTTAGCTTTCCTAGGATATTATTGAAGGGGGAGTTGGCTATTTGAGATGTTTTACTAAGGATCATAGACATTTTAAAAACAAAGTTAAAGGGTTTTCATTTGTTGTTGTGTTGAAAATAAGCATGGGTCTGTCTATTCAGTGAAATGTTTGCACATTCCCTTGTAGCTGTCTCAAACATTACATTATCCAACTAGACTCAGAAAAGTCTGCTGACTGTCCAAAACTAAAAAAAGGTGAACAAGAAAAAAATAAAAGATTTGAGTGAAGAATTTTGAGCATGCATTTCTATAGGTGACAAATGTAATATTTATAAGGTCAA